ATCAGTATGGCTAACTCTGAACTTCTTTGTTTATTGGTTGCATGGAATATTTTTTTCCATCATTTTATTTTTAGGCTGTTCATATCATTGTGTTTTTTCTTTGTTCTTTTCTTTTGTGTCTCTTGAGACTTGATAAGGACAATTATTTTTTCTTCTAGTTTATTTTTTTTTTGTCTTCTGTCTGTTTGATTCTATTGTTGAGTGTTTCTTTTAATTTTTCTAAATCAGTTGCTTTATTCTTCAGTTCAAATAGTTCTTTCTGTTACGTTTTCATTTTCATTGTTGAATCTTATTTTATTCCTCCATTTGTATCCTGATCTCTGCTAATTTGTATTTTGTGTGCTTTATATTTCTTGGAACATATTTAGCACCATACTCTGAAAATTATGAATTCTTTGCAATATTCTGATTACTTAGGAGAAATCTCCTCTTCAGGTTTTGCTATGGATTGGTTATTCTTACCTTGTGATTTTGCTTGTTGTACTAATTTTCGTTGAACTTGGGACTTTTATTATTATTATTTTAAACTATGAATTTGGTATTCTGGTTTTTGTGGCAAAATTTTGTGATTTGGAACCCTGTTTGCACTGTGGCCAACCACCTGGCTGGCAACCAGAAGGCCAGCACCTGCACTGACCAGCCACTTCATGGGGGAAAATATTGGCATACCACCTCTACAAAGACTGACAGACCTGGGTACCCCTTGGGGTGGCACAATCTGCCACATGGGGTCTCTATGTGTCATAATCCACCCAGCAACAGTGCATTTGTTGTCTTCTCCTGAGATGCACTAGAGGGCACTCTTATCTTTAGGTTTTTTTCAGTGTTCAATCAGGAGTTCTGGAGGATTACTCTTTGGAAATCATTACCCATGCGCAGGACAGGGAGTGTTTAGCCAGTTGCTGATGCTGACATAAGCTGTGAGACTCGATTTTCCTGAGACAAAGCTAGGGGACTCTCTGTATCTTTCTCCCATGGGCACCCCTGCATAGATTCTCCCACAGTGCACCACTCTGGTCAGAAAGACTTCCATTTCCCTCTGTGTCATCTGTTAATCTGATCTATTCCCCTTGCTCCGCTTCTAGTACAGATCCTCCAGTCCTAGTGCCCATCTGTCTTGGGCCTCAATGAGATTCAAGGGGACTTTCTTTCAGTGCCACAGTTTCCCTTCACACCCGTCTAATTGTAAGGGCAATGAACTCCCATGGCCAAATTGTATCACCTTATAAAAACTGGGCCACAGCTTCCTAAGATTAGTTCTCTTTCTGTGTTACCTCTTTTGAGGTGTTGCCCAACCCGGTTCCAACATGGTTGCAATGAGAAAGTGCTCCCAATGTTAGCAAGTAGGTTCTCCCACTTTCTGTGCCATCTCCACTCCTCCTCTCTCCTGCTTCTGGACTCACCCAGACTCTCCAACTCCTCAACTGCCTCCTAGAGTTCTCAGATCTAAGTCTGTGCTTGTTTTTATTATTGTTCAGTGTGTTAGTTGCTAGGGGAGGAAATGAGAGCATACACTTACTTGGCCATCTTGCTCAGCCCACTCCTGCAATATATTTTATTTCAAAAAAGGTAAAAGCAGAGAGTTTGGCATTTTCTAAATTTTTCAAAGAGTTAGACTTTTGTCTTTAATGTAATATAAAACTATTGGATATTTGTAAATATAGAAGTGAAATAAGCTATTTCTCTACTTTTTAAAAATCCCTATAGATAATCTAGGATTAATGGCTTGTAGGAAGTTAAGAAGTGAGACAAGTAGATTCCTTTGGTGAAAACTACTAAAGACCAACTTAATGACACTGATTGCTCAAAGAGAGAGCACATGTAAAAGTGGCTGTATTTTGGAGATATTTACGGATACTTGTGGCAGGTGATAGAATAACAAATAACTTTTATATCTTTGTTTATGCAACTGAGTACATATGAAAGTCATTTATTGATACGAAGAAGACTATTGAGAGAAAAATGTTTATGGGTGAATATGGGTCATCAAAACATATACTGTATTAATCTTCATTTTGATATCTCTGAGTTTTGGATATACAACTTGAAGTAAACTGAACTTTCTCTTGATATACAGTATTATTTTCAATACTTAATTGAACTATATTATGTTCATACTCAAAAAAATGAGCATGCATTTAGATAGCAGCTAATATTTTTAACATTTTCCTCATTAACAATATGATAATATTTTCAGAATGCAAACCTCAACTTTTCCATTACTTAAAATAAAGTTGTTAAGGGGAAGTAGGAAATGATATTTTATACAATTTCTGAATCAAAAGAGTTTGTTGTGAGGATACGGTAAAGGCAGTTATGATACATTTTGAGTTCTTTTATGATTAACCATAATTCAAAGTCAAACAATCATGAGTATTGAGTCACTAAATATAGATATGTACTTCTCCATCCTGACTGATACAATGTCTAATGGGACATTTTTAAAATATATTTTTCTGACACCCCAGAGAGCTAGTGAATCAGAATACATCATTTCTATATTAACCCAGAGGTTATTGGAATGCATACAAGAGACTGAAAATCATAGTACAGGCAATGGTATATTGACTTAAGAGGGAACCTGGATAGCAAAAGCAGTTTACAATCAGCTGATAGTGGAAAGGTTGCTGACTGAACCTACTCAGCTGCTCTGCAGAAAAAGCCTGCCTGTCTAACTTTTGTAAAGATCATCACCAAATAAACCTTATGGAGCACAGTTCTACTCTGTAACACATAGATTCACCATGAGTCATCCTTTGATGCCATGACAGCTAACACCAACAATAACAACTGACTTAAATCACACTCATAAAGAGTGAACAATACACATGAAATTTTTTTGGAAACAGGGCATACATGGACAAATACTTATTTGGATGATATTGAGTGTGAAAGCAATTTGGTGATGATTAATTAACTGCCTAATTGTTTCCATGATGTCTTTGTTCCTAAGGCTGTAGATAAGGGAAGATGCTAAGGAAATTCCTTAATCACAAATGTGATCATAATTACAGATATAACAATGTCATATGATAAACTAACTCAGAGGTAGGTGTGCTGTTCACAATGCATTAATTTTCACAAAAACTCTGTAAGGTTATTTGCAAGTCCTGGTGGCATAGTGGTTAAGATTTCAGATGCTAACCAAAAGGTCAGAAGTTCAAATCCACCAGGTGCTCCCTGGAAACCCTATAGCACAGTTCTGCTCTGTCCTAAAGAGTTGCTATGAGTTGGAATCAACTCTACCGCAACGGGTTTGGTTTTTGGTTTCTATATATATACATGTATGTGTGTATATGTATATTTATATATATATACCCATGGCCGTTCAGTTGACTCCGACTCATAGGGACCCTATATATATTTAAGTATTTATACATATATATATAGTCAAATATAAAAAGTGACTTTGAAGGATTAAATACTTTTCCATGTCAAACAAAAACTTAAGTGATAAAGGCCTAACTCAAACCCAAGTCTAAAATAGAACATGGGTGAAAACCAAAAATCCAAACCCATTGCCACTGAATCGAGACTGACTCATAATGACCCTATAGGATAGAGTAGCACTGCCATATAGGTTTTCCAAGGGGCGGCTGGTGGATTCAAACTGCCTACTTTGGTCAGCAGCGCTCTTTGTTTGAGCATTGTTCACCTCATGTGTTGTCACTATTCCTTAAACAATAATGGATAACAACTATTTACATAGCATTTACGTTGTCTCAGGTATTATAAGTAATCTGGAGATGATTTAAAGTATAAGAAAAGTTGTGCGTAGGTTATATACAAATACTGTGCTATTTTATATAAGGAACTTCAGCAGCCATGGATTTTGGTATTCTTGGGAGTCCTGGAGCCTATACATCAGGGATACTGAGGGAACACTGCATGATTTTAATTAATGCATATTGTAAACCTGGTTTTTAAAATAACTGTCACAAATGTATGGATACTCATGGAAATGAATGATACGGTTTACACTAAGTGATACAACAGATTATACATTATAACTGACTAAATTACATTAATGCGACCAAAAGTTCTTATTGAGGGAGAACACTCAAAATGAAATTATAGAATTATTAATGGAACGATCTGCTGTCTGTTAATACATATATTAGTTAAGTAATTTGAGCAGAAATTGCTGACAACATTGCAAGTGATATTTAACTTGGAAATAATTGTCACTGTATGGAAAGACAAGGTGTCTTTTTTATCTAGTGCTGCTATAACAGAAATACCACAAATATATAGCTTAACAAAGAGAAATTTATTCTTTCACAGTCTAGGAGGCTAGAATCCCAAAGTCAGCGTGACTGCTCCAGGGGAATCTTGCTCTCTCTGTTGGCTCTGGGTAAAGTTCCTTGTCACCAATCTTCCCCTGGTCTAGGAGCATTTCAGTGCAGGGAGCAGGCTACAGAGAATGCGCTCTCATCAGGGTTCTTCATTCTTAGTCATAGGAGGTCCCCCTTCTCTCAGCTCACTTCTCTCTCTTATATCTCAAACGTGATTGACTTAAGATACAACCTAATGTTCTGGATTGAGTCCTGCCTTATTAACATAACTACCTCTAATCTTGCCTCATTAACATCATAGAGATAGGGTTTACAATACCTAGGAATATCATCAAAACAAACCTTTTGACTTCTACTCAATTCTGACTCATATGACAAAATGCTAGGCAATCACACAATACTGAGAATCATGGGGTACACAAGTTGACACACATTTTTGGGGAGATGCAATTCAGTCCTTAACAAAAGGTATAGTTAAATGTATACATCTGTTGAAATGTGATTAAAACTACATAAGAAATCAATTCTTATACATTTAATTGATTCTTCAATGAGTGAATTATTTACACAGCAATTTTCTCAGAGCCATTATGACATCCTTGTTCCTTAGACTATATATCATGGGATTAAACATAGGAATTAGGATAGTGTAGACAATAGAAAGCACTTTTTCTGTTCCTTCTGAATGTCTGGTGTTGGGTCTTAAGTTTGTAATAATGCCTGATCCAAAGAATAACACCACAACCATCAGATGAGATGAGCAGGTGGAGAAGGCTTTGGCTCTACTTGTGGCTGATGGCAACTTCAGGACGATGGAGATGATTTTACTATAGGAGCCAAGTATCAACAGAAATGGAATCATGCCAAATAACACAACAAGTATGTAGACCAACATTTCATTTATAAAGGTGTCTCCACAAGCCAGCCTGAGTATTGGGAGAATGTCACAGAAGAAGTGGTTAATTTGGTTAGATCCACAAAAAGGCAGAGAGAAAATCTGATATGTAAGCTCTATCAGAACTGGGATTCCAATAGTCCAGGACACAGTCACCAACTGCATACAGACCCTGTGGTTCATAACTAGCGGATACTGCAGAGGGTTACAAATGGCCACGTAGCGGTCATAGGCCATCACAGCCAGGAGCAAACACTCTGTGCCTCCAAACATAAGGGCAAAGCACATCTGTGTAGCACAGGAAACTAAGGAAATTCTTCTTCTCTGGGTCCCAAGATTCAGCAGCATTTTGGGGAGAGTAACTGATACATAGCAGATTTCCAAGAAGGAAAAATTTGCCAGGAAAAAATACATAGGGCTCTGGAGAGAAGGATCCATTTTTGTTATTAGAAATATGGTGCCATTGCTCATCAGGATAATGATATAGATGATTAGAAATAATCGAAAAATAAACCACTGGAGATGGGGCATGTCAGCAAAGCCCAAGAGAACAAACTCCATCAGTTCAGTTAGATTATCTTCTGGTGGTTTTTCTTGATGCTGCATCTGTGGAAAAGATAAACTTACATGTTCATTTCCTTTTACCTTTCTGTATCTCTTTGCCTCTTCTCTAAATTGTATTGAGGAGTCTGGATTGGATTTTATGATCAACGTAATTGTTTGAACTTTAAGAATGAAACTATGTACGTATGTCTCATGCCCTCCTGTTAAGTCATGGTAAACAGTCCCTTCCAATTTATTTTAAGATCATTTCAGTGTAGTTTCACAGCACAGCCCAGAATAAATCAAGCTATACCTGACTCTGCAGAAGCACTGGTGCAATTGGCAAGTGCTGGAGATGACCTTGAGCTTTGCCATCTAATCTCATTTTAAATTAATTACACATCTTGACAATCCTATTGTATTTCTCTGTGCATTTTATCAGTCAACTTCTTAAACACTATGTCATGAACTTTCTTCTAATGTACTATTTCAACTGCCTATTTTAATGCTTCATTCTCTCATATTTGATGATTTTAAGCACATAGGTTCCTATTCCACAATTCATATGATGTAATTTAAAAGAAAATTGAGAGAATATTTCATTTTGCATAGAGGAATAAAACAAGTATCTTTTAGTAGGATATTAAGTGGATAAGATAAGAGGATTTTATTCAGGGAAATTAGCCTGGGTACATTGATTCAGATACAAAGAGTAAATGTAGGCACCCTGGAAAAACAGTGGTAGCAAGGAGGGTATTTGTTACCTGTGTTTATGTACGTGGGACAGGATATGGAAAGATATTGGCTGTTATGTTATATCCATTGTGCTGTGTACACCCGCTCTTGTTTTGGTCGTTACTCAAAAAATAACACTTCAGACAACTGTTTCTAAATTAATTTTCCTTAGATATAAGGATATTGAGACTTCCTAAGTGTGGAGAATTCAATCAACTGCACGTAGGTTTTGTGACTGCAAGTCGGTATCTTTCTTTTTTTAAGTGGTCTTTAGCTTGGCTCTTATCTCCATGATTATCTGTATGATATAAAGCAATTAAAGATTTTAAGATTTTCTTCTTTGTTTTTGAGAATTAGATGAGTTAATATTGGTAAAATATATCAGCTTCCTACCAATTTTAAGCCTTTTACTTTTTAGTTATGATTCTATAATTATGATTATAATAGTATGTTCTTTAAGCCTGTAGTCCTAGGATTTAACAGATTGCCTAGCTAAGTAGGTATTTGATAAAGTGGTTTTGACTTCCTTGGTTGGCAATTATTTTTCCCACCATTCCGTTTCATCAGGGGCAGGACAAGGACTACTCAGGGAAGCTTCTAAGGTGTAAGATGTAAGGAGACGTTCAGGGCCATCTTTGCGCTTTCAGAATCCTGAAAATGAGTGCTTCCTTACATTCTGAAGGAGGCAAGTTACCTCTTGCTTCACCCTGCTTTTCATCTCTCCATCGTAATGTTTGCACCTTGTCCACTAAAATGAGAAGTGTGCTGCCATGGTTTAAAAAAAAAAAACAAAAAACTTCTTCCCAAGGAGTAGATTCCAACTCATAGGAACCCTATAAGATAGAGTAGAACTGCCCCATAGGGTTTCCAAGGCTGTACGTCTTTAGGAAGCATCCTGTCACATCTTTATTGCTGGTTGGTTTGAACCACTGGCCTTTATGTTAGCAGTTGAATGGTTAACCACTGATCCACCAGGGCTCCATGCCCACATTAAAGAGCAGTATTTCCCAGATGGACTGAAATTGAATGATACTTCCAACAACATCAAGCTGTGTGATGACTTTGGGCAAGTTAATTAATCTTCCTGCATCACAGTTTGCTCAGCTGTTAAATGGCCAGCAAACATATCAACATATAGTGTTGTTATATGAATTAAATCATTTCATATAAGTAAAACAACTGAAGAAGTCCTGCCATTTATTAAAAAAATTATTATTAACAGTTATTAAGATTCATTTATAATTACTATTATTAAAACTAATTTTAATTTATTCTTCTGAATTTTACTCAATATGCTATACAACATGAACAATACTCTCTCATTTCTTTTCCTTTTGCATCACAGGATTATTGTGGGAATGAAGGGAGACTTAAAAGTAATTATCATAATCTTACAAAACTCCAAAAAACATTCAGCTGTCTAGTTGTTATTTCTCCATGAATTCTATGCCAATATTTGGGTTTATATCATTACTTCTACTTTGTGGATTTTAACACCTATAATACCCATCACTGCTCCACACTTAGAATTGCAATTAGGGTAATACCCTTTGTTTGCATTTTCTTATACTGACACTAAATTATCTGAGAGGTAAAGGCTGTAACTATTTTCCTACTCGGTATCAGTATAGATCCTAGAAAATGGGTGTACATCTAATATGGTACTCAGGACTTGATTCTGAACTGTAATAAACGAACAGACGTTGTTAAAATGAAAGCATCACACTTAAGAGGTAGAGAAGAATTAAGACTCACAAGAGGACAAAAGAGCCAAATCTTTACGTATCACATAAAATTATGGCATTAATAAAAAATAACTTACTTCTTGTTCTTTGAATGAAATAACTTTGAGTGCCAAATGAAATAACATTGATAATTATACAAACTCAACTTTTAGGTGATCAAATTATCCACGTATAATATCAAATATGTAAGATTTGTCTATGCTTTCCTCAAGAGAACAGGATAGAAAGTGTAGAGTTACCCTATGTGTTCTCCCAAAACTATCTCTATTACTCTTCTTTCTTGAAAATGTTTGAGTTCTTTTTACTCAGGGAAATAATACTTAACGCTATCATATTTTAGCTTGAAATGTAAGCATTCATTCCCTGGAAAAAGCCCAAATGAGTAAGGAATGCTTAACAATATTCTGAGGGAGTCCTGGTAGCACAGTGGTTAAGCACTCATCTGCTAACCAAAAGATTGGTGGTTCAAGTCCACCAGTCACTCTGTGGAAGGAAGATGTGGCAGTTGGCTACCATAAAGATTTACAGACTTGGAAAACCTAAGAGGCAGTTCTGCTGTATCTATAGGGTGTTTAGGAGTCAGAATCCACTTAAAGGCCATGGGTTTGGCTTTGGTTAACAATATTCTGATTCAGTTAGGACAGAGTAGAACTGCCGTATAGGTTTTCCAAGGAGTGGCTGGTTTCCACCTGCTGACCTTTTGGTTAGCATCCTGAGCTCTTAACCACTGTGTCACCAGGGCCTCCGGTTAGATATTAGTCCCAGTCAAGGTCCCCAATCTACCTAAACCCCAGCTATGTTTGTATTTTTGATATAAATTAGAAACATAATCCCTGAAATTAATTTGAAAAACAATATGAACTTAAAACTTTAATATTTTATAAATTTTTTAAAAAAGTTATTATCTTAAAATTATTATTTTATACATATTTTTCTTTGAAATAAATGTTTCTTGGGTTTCTCAATGGTTGTAAATGTATTCCATGGATTGTTTTACTTTAATAACTTATGAAAATATCTGAACTAAAATACATAAATATAATGCTTATTTGCTACAAAGAGTTTGCTGTAAATGAAGTTTTCCTACAATATTATTTAGTATTCTTGGAAAAACGTAGCAATTTTTCAAATTTCCAGTATTTCAAAGTACTTTAATATCAATATTTAAAATCATTGTTCCAGGTAAATTATATTTACTGGACTCAGAAATATAAAGGAGCTGCTTTAATAAAATAGCACATTTGCTTCTCTGTCTTAAGTATTGATTTTAGTAATCTCATGAAATGAAGTTGAATACTAATATAAAACATTCCATATTTACCTTTCTTATTTGGGATATTAGGAACCCTGGTGGTGCAGTTGTTGATGCACTCAGCTGGTAATCAAACGTTTGGCATTTCAAACCCACCAGCCAATCTTCGGGAAAAAGATGTGGCAGTCAGCTTCCATCAAGATTTATAGCCTCGAAAACCCTATAGGGCAGTTCTTCTCTGTCCTGTAGGGTCGCTATGATTTGGGATCAACTCATTGGTAGTGGGATTGGGTTTTGGTTTATTTGGGATAATCTTGTTTTTTCCTCACTGAAGACGGTTTAAATATTTGAGTATTTAAATTACTTGAGCTGAAACAATTTGATTCATCAAAAATATTCAATCTACTTTTAAAACAGTCAGTTTGTTTTGAACATGGAATGCTCTTTAAATTTAAAAAAAAAGTTCTCTCTCCCACCGGGACCTCTTGCACCTGACATAGTTACATTTCTAATTAAACAAATCTCTTTGGCACTCTCAGATATGGTATATTTATTTATTTTCCTAGATAGCTCTCACTCTACCCGGAATACTCTTCCTCTGCAGCCTCTCAATGGAATAGAGTGTGCAGAAAGTTTTATTTCTTAGACTTGAACAGGGTCTTGATGGCCCTTAACTGAGCAATACCATTGGAGGCCATCCAAAACTGGCACAAATCCAATTCTCAACTTCTCTATTATGAAAACTTTATATGGACCCTCTGTTCCTATCAGACGGCTCCCGTCACATTTTTCTGAAGTTATTTTGTTTATTTTCTCCCCTCAAATGCGAGCCTTGATCAAAATTCAGGGGCTGGCTTGTGTAAGAATTGTAATAAATATTATGACAACAAAAAATAATTTTACCTACCAAACATATAACATATAATTTATTTCTTCAAGACTAACTGGGCAAACTGAGAAATGGTTTTTGGGTATCTTACATCTAGGTCAATTTTGTTGTTCTTGTTGTTCCAAGATTAATCCCCATAGGGGAACTGTTTCTTTTTCTTGCAGCATTACACCATCCTTCCGCAATTTCATTCCCTCTGTGAACTCATTTTTAAGACGTGAATCCTATTAAACTTCACTTAGGAAAAGATAAGATTCTGACATAATTCCACCAGAGATGAGAGGCTAAATCCAGAACAATAGTCTGTCTGTAGTTATAAAATACTTCCCTTTCAAGACTTTAAATCACTTAGTAGTTTAAGCATATTGGCTTGATGCCAAATTTCCCTTGTGAAAATAAGGTATTACTTGCTAGTATTTAGTGAATAGTGATTTCTAAGTGTTTATATTTACCATCAACCTTGAGATTAGTAGTGGATTATATATATTTTCACTACTAAACTAAAGGCTGTGTAAAGTATCTCTCTCTCTGTCTGTCGGTCTGTCCATCTGTCTATCCATCGATCTTTTTATCTATCTCCAGGAGAGGGAACCCCTACAATATTATAATACTAGAGAGTGATTAAGAAAGTTAATTGAAAAGTATTAGAAACTATGGCCTTAAAAACCTGGAAGGTGAGTGAAGAGCAGGCAGTGAGCAAGGCCTCTGGTGGGAATAAGGTGTGGCAGGGCGCAACAATGGGGTGAAATGCTAGCCAGGCCTGAGCGTGCACATCCCAGAGTAAGTAAGCTAAAAAGGAATTCTAAAGTCTCAGAATTTGATCAGGTTTATATTGTGCAGAAATAGCGTGATCTCCTGATGCCATAAATGGAAGATTCAAATACAAATGAAAATTGATCATACAATAAAGACAGCCAATGAAATAGATAAAATATGGACTTTTGAAATAAATGTTATTTGGATGCTTGGGCACTCTTTGAGGAAAAAAGGTAAATTTTTGTTAGTACTTTATACTACAGTAGGAAAGACTCCAAATGGTACACTAGTTCAAATATTTTAGAAAATCAAACAATAAAATAACTCTTAGAGAAAGATTTTTTATAATATAATTTTGGAATAATAAAGATTTGTCTAGTTATGACCCAAAATTTAGAATGTAGGACACAAAAGATTGATAAAAGTTCAACTATGTGAAAT